TTAAAATTACAAGTTTTATTAAATAGTCAGTTTCGCGATTTTAAGAAAAAAATATGATTACAAATGAATATATTTTTTTATTTTAATCTTTAGTTCCTTTTAAGAAACTGTTTTCAAGCACTGGACATTCCTTTATTCCAAAACATTAATTAATTAAAATATTTTTTAGATTAATATGTATAATGAACTACATACACAGTCTATTATGCAAAAAATTTTTAGCTTCTACTTGTCTGATAAAATTTTATCAAAAAGATTCATGTTTATTTAAATAATTTATTTTAATAATATAATGGACGTAATTAAAAAAGTGCATATTTAAAAATTCAAGACGAAACGATTGGGTATCCCAATATCAATAAAATTTTGATAGCTTTAATTATCTAAATGTTACTTTAATTATTTAGATAATCCTATTTAATTACTTGACTACATTTGAGTAACTGTCACATTTGAGTAACAGAAAAAAGAAGATTGATATAAATTTTGTATTAATAATATTCAATATTGTAAAATCAAAATAAGATGACAAAATGAATAAAATTTTAATCTCATTGTTATCGGTTCAGTTCGCCTTGAACAGTCAGTACCTGAGAATTTTTGTACTCACATATATAATAAATTATAATGACGTATGTATTTTACTACTTTGAAATATAATCATTTAGCTATTGTTCGATAAATATTATTCTATCCATGTTTTTTTATTTTGTTAAGATACTGTATTTTGTGATAATATAAAGAATATATTTTTGCATGCAAATCTTGATCTTGTGTATTATAAAATTGTGATTAATATTGATTAAGTTATCATTAAAATATTCGATAATTGCATAATATTTGCATTATTTGTAAAAAATTTGGAAAAGGATAACAATTGTTAATTTGTTGCCAAGATGGGCGCTATTATAAGACAGTCCGAAAAATTTGGGATTGGTTTCCTCCTGCGACGGAATTCTTAGTGAATTCCAACGAATCATTTAACTTTCTTTCGCGTTGATAATGTGAAACTTGACGAGAAGCAGAGCACAGCTAGCTCTCCGTGGAGATCATTCTTCTTTCTGTCGGGTACTATCCAATGTCTTACTCGGAAAGATCTGGTCTCTTTGTTGGACTAGTTATTTTCTATTTAACACAGTGACAACGCAGTGTTTCCTCGCGATTTTTTAGAGACTCATTAATTTATCTCTTTGTTGAAAATAAAACGAGAAATAAAGAGAATTTATATACGTACGATTAAATCGTTTTCATTCCATTATATTATTTGAATCATAGATTCTATATTGCAACACATTTAATAGTTGTTAAATAACATTTTTATTATTATATAAAAAATAATAATTATAGAAGACGCGTTGCAGAATTTAAAATTATATATATCGGAATTGATTAGATCGTTTCATTCGTCACATTATTTTGTATTGAAGTTTTGCATGTTGCACATTTCTTTTATATGTTGTAAAATGTATGAATTACATATATATTGTTAATAATTGATATTCTTTTTTTATTGAAATA